AAGTTCTCCTGCTTCTGGACTCCAGGCTTGCACCAGAAGTGTCCCTGAGTTCTCAGGTTTTCAGTCTAATAGAGGATTAGACCATCAGCTTCCCAGATGTGAGACTTAGCTTAGACTTTGAGCTACATAACCAGTTTCTTTCATTCTTCAGGTTTCAGACAGCCAGCTGTGGGACCTCCTGCCCTAACAATCACGAGAACCAATTCTTAAAATTATCTATGTATCTATCTATCCATCAATTAATCAATCATCTCCTGTTGATTCTGTCTCTTTACAGAATACACATGGCAATGAACATTGAGGTCCTCAATCATTTTTTCTCTAAATCACTTAATACTACAGAAAAAAATCTTGGGCATATTTCCTGTAGTCCTGTGTGAGAAATTCTTTAGGTCAGTGCCTTTTCGCCTGTAATGTGCTTATGAATCACCTGCAGATCTTGCAAAGTCATCTACTCTGTTAGTCTAACAGGCTCCTACATAAGCAGAAGCTACAGGTCTATGTACCATATTTGAAGAAGCACACTGGACTATAGGACTAGAAATGAAATTGCTCAAAATTATTAAATATTGACAAACTGCTTCTCCAGGTGTTTAAACCTTTCAACCCCAGCATCAGTACAGTATATGCCGGTTTTAATTACTATACATTCTTGTCAGTAGTGGAATTTTCAGCCTTTTTACATGTCAGCAATTTGAAGAACATGAAATTGTACCTTGTTTAAATTTCTGCTTTTCTGATAACTTGAACATCTTTTTATATGTTTGTTATGTTGTGGTCTTGCTCTTCTGTATATACATATCTTGCTTATTTTTTGTTTTCCTTATTGGTCTGTATGAATGCTTTTCAAATTCTGCACATTGATATTTTGCTGCTGTGTTTTTTGCAAATATTTTCTCCAGTTTGTTTCTTCCTTTTAATGTTGACCTGATTGTACATAATATCTTAATTTTAATATGCTATAATTAAACAATTTTTCCTTTATTGTTGGCATTTTAGAACTTTGCTTTAGAATTTCTTCCTAAGCCCCAAAGCCAAGAAGAGGTTTCTCTCATTCTTTTCTCTAAATATTGCAAAGTGGGGCTTTGGGGGCATATATATGTTAACTGGCAGAACCGATGTTTTGTCTTCATGGAAAATCCATCCTCCAGCATCATTTAATGAGTAGCTCATCTCTTCCGCACTACCTCGGAATGTTGTGGTCATTGTCTCTATTATATATACATGTGTTTAGGTGCTCTGTTCTGATTTTTTATTGCTTTGCGTATCTATGACACTGTCTTATTTACTGCAGCTTTATAAATTTTTATTTTTGATAAGGTGCCTTCCTCAAAATAGGTGCCTTCCTTTAAATTTTTACTTTTTAGCTCTTTTGTCAACTACAAATACATGCAGGGAAGTTCTCATGACTACATATAGGTACAACTCAATAAGATTTTAAGGACTGAAGATATTTATAAAACAAGCAGGTAAATTAAGAAAAAGAAGTTTTCTAGCATCTCAAAAGGTCTCATCATGCCCACTATTTCTCACTAATATCTCACTCCAGAAGGAAACAATAGCATGAATCTAATATGACTATAGAAATTAGTCGTATATTGATTATTTTAGTGTTTTGTGTCAATAGAAATATAAAGGCTATATATTTTTGAATCTGGTATTTACTATTGACTAATTTCTAGTTCTCAACTATTATCAATCATGCACTATGAGCACACTTATACATGTCTTGGAGTGAACATAAAGATGTATTTTTTTGTTACTCTAAGTATGGTGTGAACAAGTCTTGGTCTACAAACATTTGTATCCTTGGGGCTGGGGATTTAGCTCAGCGGCAAAAGCGCCTGCCTGGCAAGTGCAAGGTCATGAGTTCGGTTCCCGTACCGGAGAAAAACCAAAAAAAACAAAACAAAAAAAAACATTTGTATCCTTGAACTACACTGAGGTCATTAAGAGTAAATATTTAGAAACCTTTAAGGCAATTTGATACAGTATTTTTAACCTTTATTAAATCTGATAATTTGTAAACATTGAAAGTTTTTAATTTTTCATTTTAGTTTTCAGACAATTCATTTTTATTGTATTTACAAAATAGATGGAAATGAACAATAATAACTAGAACAACAAAACCTAGTCCTTTATGAAGACACTTTGAGAAATACTGTTCCAAAATATAAATAGAGAATGTTCATTTTCAAATCGAATGTAAAGATTTCTTCCTAACGTTCCCTGATTGTTGTTGGTGAAATAGAAAGTGTCCTCTGTAGCCTGGTCTTTAGTGAAGTCACAATGTACATTTCTTATCATTTTGTGAATTTTGTCTGAAGTACGTTGTTTGACTAATAACATCTAAATTTTTTATCATGCAATTTATATTAGTGAAATAGTGAGAAATACTTTCATATATGGACATATATTCATTAGTATAAATCACATATGCATTTACTATACTTAACTATTAGGTACATTATATGACAGGTATGAAAAATAAAAATTGGAAAGGTTCAGTTTAAAAGATAAATGTATGTGCAACTGGACTTTTTCCTCCTGTCCCCTTAGCGGGTATATACTCCTACTTTGGAGATTTCTGCTCTCAATCTTTTTCTGGAAAGACATAAACAAAATAGTCTTAATTATTGCAGCACCAAGCCTCCACTGAAGCTACTGACTCTGGCTTTACAGTGTAAAAGCCGGCAAGGATGACACATTAAAAAATGGGTATGGCTATATTTCACGAAACTATGAAAACCAGTAGCAAGCCAGATGTGTCCCAAGAGGCAAAGTTTGCCAACCTCTGCTCTAGACTATACAGAAAAGTAAAACCTAATAGTAATTTTCTTTTAAAAATACTATCTGCTTTACAAGGAGAAACAAGGAAAATTAAAATTAATCTTTCCTTCCTTTCTTCTTTCCTTTTTCCCTTCAGTTTTGCAAATAAAGTCATTTTATGGATGGAGAAACCAAGGCTCAGTGCGATGACTTTCCAAATCAGCTCAGTTAGGAAATTTTGCTGTATGTACTGCATTTCATGCTTATTACCACACCACCTTGTATTTATTATAAAGTTATTGTATTTAATAACAACTGTATTAAGTTGTTTTACTGATTAAGAACATGCTAAGCCTGCAAATTGTGGTGTCCTATGGTTCACTTCCCCCCCTTAGATATTGTATCATTTCATTCAAAAATACTGTATTGCACATTGGGCTCAGAAAGCTTAGCAGAATCATTTCTGACTAGTTCAATGGCTACAAGATCTTAAAAAGACATATTTAAAAAAAAAAAAAAAGAACACCACCCAATTGCTTTCAGGAAAGCCTTGAAAAATTGGCAGGAATTCAGATTACAAGCAGAAGATACTCTCAAGGGTTGCATTTCAGTAACTGTACTGAGTATTAATGATCCACTCAAGTGTTTAAACATGCACAGTTGATACATTATGCAAACAATACCCTGGCCAACAGCATGCAGGAGGCTTTCATACACACTACTCTTAAGAAACAAAACAATGGTTAATTCATGGCCAAGCACACAACTAATGTGAACAGTAAATAAATCTTGCCTGGGGACTCAGCAGATCAAGCAGGATGCTGCTACTTTGGATGTGCTCAAGGACACGGACTAGCATCTCTTCATTTGTTCTGCCTCTGCACACAGCACAAGGCCTACCACGGAAGGGGAAGGAAGTGCTTGTGGTTTGAATGAATGTATGAATTACACAGCTGTAAAAAGGGACCGGCTCTTCTACAGAGAATTCTTAAAGTTGTTCTCAAAACTGTCACCTTTTCATTGCTTCTGTTTCATTCAGACTACTGAAAATAAAAGAGGGAATATTATGAGATTAATCTTTTGAAGAACGATAAGATTGTAAAAGAAAAAACCTGATAGCCAAAGACACATAATTATTCATCTAATACTGTATATATTCTGGCAAAGAGTTTACTAATAGACAAAATTTATAAATTTTTTTCCACATTTCAATAGTATCTTTTCAAAAACACAAACTCATTCTAAATTTTATTCTGACATCAGATTTCTAAATTTATCTTAGCTTTAAAGCTAAAACTAAAAGGCTTTCCTTTACAAATTTATATAGCAAATTTCAAGGGGACAGGAAAATAGAATTCATGGGTGATCCATCCCCAAATAGCTTACTGACGTTTCTGCTAGGGTACTCATTTTCACCCTTGTGTGACCCTGCACAACTTCCCAGTGAGAATTGATTTAGAGTGATTAGGAAGAGGAATGATGCTCTTCCTTATCCCTCAATCCCTCTACCTCTGGTATTTTCTTGACATTTCTCTTAATAAGATACCCACAACTTATATTCCATAAAAATTTTAAAACTCAAATATTACTGAAAGTGAAAAAATAAAACTATTGACTTAAATTCACACTAAGATGTAAATAGCTTACCAGTTCTTTTCTAAAGAGTAGGTGCTAATGGCTACTGGCTCCTTGGAGAGAAAAATGCACTAGGGAAAAATAAAACAAATATTGCCTAATTTAAATTGAACTGCTTGAGGCATCTCTGCTTTTGAATTTAGTACAAATTTCTCCCAGATCAACTCCCAGAGATTTTTTTCCTAGCATTTATAATTCCAACCACCCACAGGGACAATTCACCACCTGAGCCTTAGCTAACCAGCCTTCTGCAATCTTTTTTCTCAGTTTCCTTTTGTGCCCCCAGAAGTCATATCACCAAATACATTTCTGGTTTTATACCCTGCATGTCTTAACAAAGCAGCGGTGGATGGGATAAAATACTAGACAAGAGTCTTTTTAGATAGCTGTGGCCTTACTGACTAGTAAAGAACTCATGCTTTCCCTAAAGACACCTGGGAATGGACTCTGAGATGGCAAACAAGAGTTTTATCAAATAGTACTCTTGAAATCAACCCCTGGAGTGGCTGAGGATGCAGGTATGGGATGCTAGAGAGGTAGAACTATCATGTGGTTAAAGCAAACATCTCAGCTCATCCAACATTTGTCTCCAACAGGGAGATTTGGAGCTGAGATGGCCTTTCTAATGATCCTGACTTGAGAGCAGAAAGTGAGATCTTTATAAGCCAGCACTGATCATCACTGCATGGAGTCTGTGCCCGCAAAGGACATCATCCTGGTCAAGGCACTCCTCACCTGAGGTAAATCCCAGAGAAGGTGATCAGCTAAGGGCCAAGCGCAGGCTTAGGAAAGGTGAAAATGGTTTGTTAATTTGTTAGAAACTTCACCAGGCTCTGTTCTTCTTTTCAGAAAATCATGTCACTCACAGTCATGTTGCCCATAGTTTTTTACTTGCTAATTCAGAACATTTGGACCAATTTGCATCTGTAACTGCCACATTCATGATGCCTGTGAGCATCTGCCTGCTTTGCTAAGCTTTCTGTTAGTTCCCTTTTATGTGTGTAACAGTAGTAATGTTCACATAAATTTCATATCAGGGTAGTAAAGGACACATTGCAAAATATTTTGTGTGAAAAGACAGCGTTATATCTAAAACAGCAATTCAGGATGGAACCTTGCCCTAGGGTCACCCTTAATCCTGTCTGCTCATTAACATCACCTAGGAAGTTGTAAAATATTCTGATGTCCAGGCCAGACCCCAGGCCAATTATATTGGGACCTCTGGAGGTAAAATCCAAACATCATTATTTTTGAAACTCTCCAAGGGTTTGCAACATATAATATAAAGTTGAAAAATCAGTTCTTCTGTATAGCGAATATGAAACTTTAGTGTACCTCACAGTGACCTGGAAATTATTCACCACAGATGGCTGATCCCCACCCCTGGAGTTTCTAATTCATTTGCTCTGGAATTGTAATCAGGTCCCATACTGATACTCCTGGTCCAGGGACTCTGAGAGGCTTTGATACCTCACCAAAGTCTCACCACATTTAGCAATTCCTCCTTGTCCCTGGCCCCACAGCCACAACAAACATTTTGGAAAATCTCCCCTTCATCCACTCTGGCAGACCCTTTCCTCTCTATGCAACCATTTTGAAATGCCACAGTTCCGCAGGTGCTTGTTACTTGGGGAGATGGAAGAAAATGTGGATGACCTCAACTTCTTCCATGACTGTTTCATGTTCTTGGCCTTGGATTTCTTGGTCATTACTGATAGGATTTTAGAGATTACAGGACTACAAACATTCTTTTGAGACAGGAAGCTAACGGCTTCTACTGCACATTTAATCCAAAAATTTATATTAGAAACCAAATATACTCAATTACGGCTTTTCATTCTTGCTGGCTTCTCTTCGTTGTTATTGTTGTTTTTACCCTGAGTGGGCCAGAGACAGCAGTTCAGGTTCTAGAAATTCATTTCGTTTGTTTAAGTTCAAATTAAGCAATCAATAAGTAAATGCCAAGATGGGCAGCAGTAATTTGGCCACAGCCCTTGCTTGGTTCTCCTAAAATCAGGGTTTTTCACAGAAGGGTTTAAAATAGGGCTTATTTAACCATGGATAGAGATTTTTTTGAAACTCATGCGATTATTCAGATTTTCAGCTACAACAACTAAAACTAAAAAAGGAAGTTTGGTAATTAAGATAAAAATTAACTTTCCTTTTTTTAGAGAGCCTGATGACCACAGAAAAGGCCCTCATTTTTTTCTAGTAAACCAAAATTTTCTCACAATTTTTAAGCTTTACCAAGATTAATAATCTAAAGATATCGGCTTCTGTTGAAGTGAATATCGAGATTTATTGACCTGTGGAGTAAATATTAACAGAGGTGAAACTGAGGTTAATAACAAACCTCGAGGGATAATGCATCTTCATCTTTGTGGAAATAAAAAGTCAACTCATACATTCAAAAACCTCTTTAACCAAAAACCTCTGGAATCTCTTTGCTGTGACAAAGTGTTTCAATATATGGCTGAATTTCCATTTATATTAACATTCTTTGGGTATTGAGGCAGCCAGAAAAGCAAAACATTAATCACTCCCTCTAGGCAGCCAATCAGATGGCAGTTACTTATTTACATATGAAATTTGATTGGAAGACGGATTCTAAGTAGCATCTCACTTGTTTTAAATTCCCTAATTTAGGCAGAACATTGATTTAACTTACACTAATATTCAGCCACCCAACAAACCCATCTTTTTACCTTACATAAAATAAAACTATCCATCCCACTAACTTCATTCAAATCTAAATAAATATGCTTATTGTCATCAACAAAATTTTATAAACTAATGTTTATTAAAAATTAATTTTTAAAAAGAAACAGAAATTTATATGAATAAAAATAAGAGATTTCTGAGCTATGGTACTAGAAGGCCAGTGCTGGAATTCTGTCTCTAGTATTCATTTGCTCTGTGACATTAGCCAAGTCACTTGACTACTCTGTGCCTCAATTTCCACATTTGTAAAGTTAAAGTAACAATAGCACTTATGTCCCAAGGTTATTGTGAAGATTAAATGCATTAGGACTTCTAGAGACTTTAGTATATCTTCAGAGCATAATGAGGACTAAATACTTATTCCTTAAAAAGTTCTAGGGAAAAGAGATCTTTAAGATCATGTGGCTGGAAGTCTCAAATCTTTAGTTTTTTCATGGGTAGCCTGTGTCATTAAAACTGTTAAGCGTTAATACTATTGGTGTTCATTTAAATTTAAATTCAGTTGCCACCATTAGAAGCTCAGGAGATTCCATATAGAATAATAGGACATACTGCTTTTCTTAAAACTTCAGAAGACACAGCCACACTGAACTCAGGTTCTCAGACACCAAAAGTCATGTGGTATGAAGGGACAGCTGGCTGCCTGCCCAGAAAGGTCAGGTGCTTTTGCCCATTTCACAAGGTCACGCTCATCACTGGCCGCAATCCCCACCACTATTACTCCGCACACAGCGGCTGGGTTAGCTGCAGCCATTATCCTGTTAACACTACTGCTGTCCTTACAGTAGAATAAGCATCAAAGAAAGCTATCCTCACACCCAGGTCTTTCAGAAATGGGAAAAACACTCACAGACAAAACCTTGAGAGAGCCACGTTTCAAGGAAAAGCTGAGCCAGACATGCTTGTTTACAACATAAATGGCATTTTTGGGTTTAACATATCAACAAAGTAGTGAAAGAATGTATGCCAGGCATGGTGGCACATGCAGTAATCTCAGAACTCAGGAGGCTAAGGCAGGAGGCTTGTTGCAAGTTTGAGGCCAGCCTGGGCTACATAGTAAGTACAGGGGCAGCCTGAACTGTACAGTGAGACCGTGTCTCAAAAAGCCAAAAAACAGAATACAGCTCAAGCCTCCCTTAGGAAAATATATCTTGAGAACCTTGGCTGTTATGTGGAAAAGATTCCTGATGCAAAGCTTGATGATTTGTAAAAGAGATTGAAATTTCAACAGCTATTTTTATGAATGGGAAGAAAATAAGTGGCAATGCTACGATTTTCAGTAATGTATACTTCTTACATTTGTATTATGTCTCCATGTAGGTATTTGTATTTTTGACCCTTGATGTAAGCCAACTTATTGCACAGATGGAGAAAGTGAAGCCAGAGAAGTCAGGGACTTGACTAATGGTACGTAACAAGTAGAGGCAGAGAGAAGATCGCGCCTATCGTTCAGATACACACAAGGGGCTTCCAGCATGTGCTTTCATGATGAGACCCAAAAGGAACACACACCCTCATGTGAATTGAATCCCAAGCTTGTCACCTTTTAATGGACCATATAAATTCTTAAGGTCTCTGACCCCCAGCTTTCTGGTTGAAAATGTTAATCCTTATGCCGGAATTATAATTGTACACAGTGTTTTCCAGCCAGAGTAAAATAATGATCTACTGGCTCCTGGGTCAATAGACAATGTACACGAAGTTAATACTCATCCAAGACCTTTATGTTAAGGGTGGAAATACAAAGCCAACATGCAGTAAAGATACATGTGATGACATTGTAGGGATAGGTAGGGAGAAACCCGCAGCACGGGGCATGACCTCGGTGGCTCGCGTAATAGATATAACCGCAGCTTACTGATGACATGATGTATTGGAGAAGGCTGTCCTTTGGGGACCTTTGTATACTTTTTATGTGCTCATAGCCCCTGTGAACCGTGGCTCACTCCAAAAAGGCTAAGCTCCTGATTGTACCAATCAGAGAAATAGTTATTTTTAGAAACTCAGCTTACCCCTATAATATGGGCAAGGCGAGGACCCCGTGCTTGCTGAGAAACTCACCATGAGCTTCTTTCTCCCCGCCACACAGTTTGCTTGCTACGTAGCAGAACGCACCCCCAACCCCCACCCGCAACACGCACCCACCTCGCCCCACTCCCATTCCCACCCCCACCTTTTGCAATATTATCGGCAAAACTTTTACATTACTTCATTCTCGTTATGAGTTTCTCATTCCGCTCCAAAGAGACTTTCAGTTCTGAGTCAGCCTCACTTCACCTCCTGCATTCCTGCCTGGCGGGAGAGAGGAAACTTGGAAGCAGAGGGTCTCTTCACAGGAGAACTCCAGGCCCCACACTTCCACCTGATGCAACAACATGAAATCTCATCATGTGCTGGAAACTTCCCCATTTTCTTATCTCAGTACAGTTAAAATGATCTTCATGTCTTTTTACGAAAGTGCAACATTGCTTCATTCCGCTCACTTTTCTTAGCCAAGTCTTTGATTCACCTTGATTTTAAGGTTACACCTTGGTACTTGACTTCTTTGAAACTCAAATTTGGTAATCAGTGCATTATGACCTGAAAATTTGGTACTCAATAGGCAGACTAGAACTTGGTGGTCTCGAGCACTTCTTGGCTTGATTCCCTTTCTGGCCAAAACAATTTGTTTTGTGATTATTCATCATGCCTCCTGGAACAAATTAACAGTGACTACCAAGGTCCTGAGATATTATTTCATTTTTCTTTTGATTCTGTGAGCCCACTAGTCAGATACCTTTAGAAAGATTACACCTCACATGCCTGAAACTATAAATAGAAGCACTGGACCAAATTAAAAAAAAAAAACTACATCCATCCACATGGCAACATGCACTTTATTAAAGACAAATGCAATAACATTAATTAATCTGAGTGTGATCAAAAAATTCGGTGAACATTTACATTATAAAAACAAACATGGTAAAAGACCCATTCATTAATTCCCCTCCAGGTACTCTCCCTTGCTTGGAAGCCACTTCATTTTTCCTGCACTTTCTGACGCAGTTTTGGAATTCCTCTTTCACGGGTGTTTCTAATTATATTGTCACAGCTGCCTCTATATCCTGAATTGATTAAAAAATATCTACCTTTCATGGTCATTTTGACTTTGAGGAAGAGCCAGAAGCCCCCTCTTCTCAGTTCTGATGAGTAAGATGGATGCAAATCATGTTTCTGTGAGCCCGCTTTTCTGTTTGCCACAGTCAGCAGCACCATCC